TATTGCATTACTGCCTTGCTATAGAATATTTAGTTTCAAAACCTTTTCTCTTTAGTCATGTAAAAAAAGAAAGAAAGAAAACACAGTATATTAATGCTATATTCTCCTGGCCCTCCAGCAAGTCCAGTCAATACATGGACTTCAGATGCACTCAGCAGCCTTTACACGCTTGCTGCTCCACGAGAAGATGCTTGATGCTTGTGAAGACGTAATGAACACGTCGGATATTCTCTTACACCACACCAAAGCGCACTTGAAGCCTCCTGGCACTGGTTCTCCATTTCCCATGCATCAGGTAATGAAGCTTTAATGAGGCAGGAGTGAAGGAAGTTTTCCATTTATTTTAAGTTTTTGCTTGAGATGTCGTTTCCTGTTTTATCGGTTCTGGTGGTTTGCTTTTAGCTTTTGTTGATGTGGGTTTTAATTATATGTGGAAATGAAATTGGTAATGATTTTAAAATTAATGATGATAAAGCTAATGATGAAAATGATGATGGTAATGATGATAGTAATACTGATACTGTACATACTACTAGTAACCGTGGTAATGATATTGAGGATTGTGTTTAGGATGATAATGCTGGTGATTATGATGATGATGATTATGTTAGTATTTTGTAGTGAGTAATAGAAATTTGAAAGTTGAAAACTCATGAATTAAACATAAAAGCTAAAAAAAAAATCATATGCATGATATACTTAGGAAAAAAAGAAAAGGTGGAGGAAAAACATATATTGATGTAAACAACTCCGGCCGAGCAAAGACGCCTAAGTATTCCACACTACTTTCAGGACTACCACTACTTCCCCTTTAAGAATGACTCCATGATAGCCGTGTTCGTGAGCCTGGACGACGCTGACCCCCAGAACGGAGGGCTGTGCGTGTACCCGGGTTCGCACAAGCTCGGACCCCAGGAAGACTGCAGCAATGTCCCCGGGTGGCACTACCTTAGCCAGGAGAAATTCCCCATAGAGAAGGCGACACCACTTACCCTAAAGAGAGGACAGGTGGGTGATCCTCAGAGGCAAGGAGGGTGTCTTTGACTTAGAAATTAGAAGTTGAGTGGATGGTTTTCTTCCACTGTGATGACGGTATCCTTGATTTAGAGTTTAGAAGTGAATAGGTGGTTTCCTAATGTAGTGAAGATATCACTGATTTAGAGATTGGAAATGAGTAGGTGGGCACCTAAAGCAAGAGAGGTATTTTTGACCTTTAGATTGGAAATGGGCATGTGGTCTTCTAATGCAGTGGATGGGTATTTGATTGAAAGATTAGAAGGGAATAGGTGATCTATTGAAAGGAGGGTATCTTTGATGTAAGGAGTAGAAGTCAATGGATGGTATTCTAAAGCAAGTAGTGGATTTGATTTAGAAATCAAGAAGAGAGTGGTTGATCCTAAATATCTCCTTTTCAAAAAAGTCATCCACAAACATAAACTTTGCAACATGATTTTTCTCTTTATCAACCTTAATTTCCCTTATAAAAACATCACAAGTTTCCTTCTTCAAATTACTGTATCAGTGATCAAGTTATAAAACCCAAATGTCTTTGTCACATCATTATTGTTCATTTTTACAACTGCTATAATAGTGCATATACTATAATAAAAATCATGGAGAAAATACTCCCTTCACTAAAGCCAAAGACAAAAATCAATTGATCAGAAAGTTACGATTTTATTTTGAAGTTCCCCCGTGATTTAGGGACTAGAAATTTTGAGGGTCTTTTGAGGTAAATGAAGTGTCTGAGATGGAGATAGAAATTGATAAGTGAGTGGTTGGTCCAGTGTGAGTTGTCTCTGATTTAAAGATTTAGTAGTAATGAAAAGAGAATTTGGAAGAAATACAATAATCTAGATTTTAAATTGAAACAGTAAATAACATCTTGAAAAATAAAATTATATCTTTCTGACCGATTGATCATTGTCTTTGGCTTTAGTGAAAGGAGTATTTTCTTTGTGATTTTTATTATAGCATATGCACTATTATAGCAGTTGTACAAATGGACACTAATGATGTGACAAAGGCATTTGGGTTTTATAACTTCATACTTGTTTGAGATCACTGATGCAGTAATTTGAAGAAGGAAACTTGTGATGTTTTTATAAAAGAAATTAAGGTTGCTAAAGAGGAAAGTCATGTTACAAAGTATATGTTTGTGGATGAATGACTTTTTTGAAAAGGAGATATTTAGCTCTGAGATGAAAGAAAAATTAGAAATTGAGAATAATGGGAAATACAGTAGATTGGTAGTAATGTCTGGATAAGGGAATAAAACAAAGGTAATTTTGCAACTTGTAGGATAGTGAAGGCATTAATTTATGAAAAAGTGTGAAGAATGGACTTTGGTATTTCAAAGAGAAAATTGTCTTGCTTATGATGTATAACATTTGTGTGATATGGGAGTGTCTATTGCCCCAAAGACCTGAGCCTCTATTTTAGAAAATATGTTATTGTTATTTTAGCATTAATGTGAATGCTAAACTTGGCATGGCTCATTTTTTTCTAAGACAAAAAGATACTAGAATAATTTGTATCTCTAGATTCTTTTATTAAGAGATGTCACTTGGGTTTAAATAGTATATTTAGTTATATGTATAGTTGACTTTCTTGTGCATCATGAATGTCTGTAGAACTAGGACAGAGTTTTTGTAAGAAGAATTTTAGATTTGTGTATATATAGTTAGTGTGCCTTGATATTTAATTTTTTGTCTATTTATACCTATGCTTTCTTTTTCTTTTGTTACTTTTTTATACTTATCTATATCACTTGTCAGATGTAAATCTATTCCTATACACTTCCATATAGAATGTTTAATGTTTTATGCTAATATACATGTTCAAGAGAGCATGGATAAGGTCTTGGACACCAGGAATAGGTATTTTCTTTGTAAAGGAAGGAATATTACTCACCACATCAGTATTTTTCATATGTGGAATAGAATAGAGAAATCAGACTCAAACCCAGTGTCATTTTTCCTCCCAGGTGGTCATTTTCTCGTACCTGCTCATCCACGGGTCATATGACAACACCAGCGACAGGGTCCGCCGCATGTTTCTCATCCAGCTGATGGCGGCTGATGACACACCCATGGCCGACATGCACAGATCGGCGTGCCAGAAGATGGTGTTGCGTGGGAAGTGCTTGTGGCGGCTGGCGGACGTCACAAAGCGCTTTGAGGATTAGAGCATAGAGGCAGGAGGACAGGGAGATGTGGTGGCTGTATTCAGTGTGTGGTTATTTGTATTATGTGGACTCTGGTGGAGAAGGCTGAGTTGTGCTGTATATTTTATTGTTATTATTTTTGGTATTTTACTCTTTTGTCATATGTTGTATGTCATTTTTTTTTTTAATAGGAAATTTGAAGATGGAGATGAAGATTTACTTAATGTACATAAGGTACATATCATTGGAACACATTTTTTACGGTTAGTTGTAACCATTCAACCTTTTTCTAGCAATTACAGTATCATCCCATCCAGTTTATATTCCATTTCACAAAATAAACCTGTACTTGTCAACAATGATAGTAGATTTTGATAGGGTTCTTAGCATAAATTTGTACCTTAAAAAAAAAACATTTGTATGTAGATTTTATGTCGTCACCCATAAACTTCTTAACTTAAATTTAGGGACAAGCTAGGGATCTATGCCTCGGACTCTCCCTGGACCTGCAACACCTCCAAGACACTGGTCCAGGTCAGAATGGAAGGTGATAGACAGCTATGGCAGAATCTGGGTATGCCTACCTTCTGGCACAATCGTCAGGGGAATTTCAGGTTCAGGGGGAGCATGTCAAGACTGATTTCCCATACTGCCTTTGATATAGGTTCATTCAAGAAGGTAGAAAAGGCCATGTTATGATACGTGTGATTTGAACAAGCCTGTGAGTTTGATCAGAAGTGTTTATATGGCTAGCCTGTATGTGACAATGGGGTTACTAGTACAATTGTTTTTATATAACTTGTTGGCCATTTATGCATGTAATATGTGCATAATCGTTTATCATTAGTTTTTATAGAAACTGGGAAATTTACTTTTATTTGTTCCATTGTTAAAATAAGTTACTTTACTGTATCCAAGAGTGAGAGATTTCTAATAGGTACTAAAAAGTTGCAATAACATTGTATTGTAGATTTTTAAACAAAGTTTGAGATAGATGTTGTTTTAAGGAACTTTTATCAAGAATCACAAAAGTACAAATACAAGTTTGTGCCATATCTAGATTTTATTAGTGCAGTGTACATTTATCTCATTCATGCAATATTATATTGTTAGTAACCCATAAATTCTGCATTATAAACCTTTTACTAACATTATCTCATATATAGGGAACAGTTTTACGTAATATTTGTGCAATATACAGGTTTAACTAATGCAATAATGCTGGTAGTGTACTTATACATGCTACTACTAACATATTTTATGGCCAATCTTTGATTCCTGTATGATTTTTACACATAAAAAATATGTGAAGAGTGTATGCCACTATGTATACTAGCCATATTAGAATATATGTAGTTTGTGTTGAATATTGCTAAGATTTATGAATTATTTGATTGGATTAAATTTCAAATAATTGTATAATGACAGGAGTAACAATTACCCTTTCAATTTGGAAAAGGTTGTAAATTCTTTGAAAATATGGCATCTTCAGGGAAGCAGAATAAGTAGAAATTGGAAGGAGAAAGCAAAGTACAAATAAATTAACAGGAAACCCAAAGAATTTTGAATAATTTGTCGTATGTAGAAGATTCTTTTATTGGAGAATATATAGGAAGTAATATTATCTGTGCAATGAAGAAATCCAGCCATACTGTTCATGTACAAATGTATGACTTAAATGTATGAAGTTGCAGCTATCTTGTTAACATGGGGTATAATCTTTTGGGATTTTTTTTCTTTTTTTGTTACAGTAGTTGGTCACACTGTTCTTGGTGCTGTTATGTTGAATTTTGTATTGAAATTTTATGTTTTATGAACAAACGAAGGAGAAACA